CCCCAAAACCCCAAAACCCCAAAACCCCAAATTCAACTTACAGAATAGATAATAATTTAACTTTAAACATGAAGAAATTTGGCCTAAGCCTTGAAATCCCAAGTGATGAAGAAAAAGAAGCCCAAGAACCCGCCCAGCAACTAGACACTTATGAAAGCCACGAAAGCGAAGACTATCAAGAAGGTGAAGAGAGTGAAGAAGAACCAAGCCGAGAGATAGAAGAAAATTTAGGATTCCAGAATACAAATGGTCATGAACAAACTTCGGACCAAGAGGAAAGTGATATCCTTTTAGAGCCAAAACCTCCTGCTGTAGGGACAAAGCCAACAGGCTTTGGGTTTGGAGGTAAACCAGGCCTCAGCCTTAATGTAGAAGATAGCGACGAGAAAGAATCCCAGCCAGAAGAGATACAAATTGAAGAGAAAAATCAAGATTCTGCTGAAGCGCCAATTGACGATGGGATTCAAATTGAAGGAGTCGAATCTACAGGAGATATCTCTTATAAATGGGTCGAAGCACTTAAGAATATTCAGATTGTTGAAAAAGCAATCCCTTTTAGCCAGTTTTACAAAAGCTTTGCTCTGAGAGAAACCTCGAGAGAATTCAAGCTCATCCGCAGGTTGACAGAGACCGAATTTCATAGGAGTCAAATAATCAAGCGGAAGAAAGGAAAGGATAGATATAGTGATCTTGGACCTTTCAAGCACTCCCAAGTAAAATTACGATCGAATACGAAAGTATTTGAAGCAGAGGTTGATAACTATATCAATGCGAATTACATCAAAAGTGCAACTCAAAGGAACCTCTTCATCGCTACTCAGGGTCCGCTCGAAACAACCTTCCTTAACTTCTACAGAATGGTTTGGCAAGAGAAAGTTTCTCTAATTTTCATGCTCTGTCCCCTCATGGAGGATGAAAAGAAGAAATGTTCAGAGTACTGGCCTCACGAAGGGACTGAGAAAACCCTTAACATTGACGACCAATTCCTCATCACATTCGAAGAGGTGGTTGAATCCTCTGAGGAAATCATTAACAAGTGATGAAAGATTAGAAAACTCAAGATCAAGAACATTGCTAAAAATGAAGAAAGGATATTTACTCACTACAACATGCTTTCTTGGCCTGACTTTGGGACTCCAGAGGAGAACGAATACACTATAATAGAAGATATTGTAGCAAAGATCCAAGAGATAGAAGATAATGAGAAGAGTAAGGAGAAAATTATTGTCCATTGATCAGCAGGGATAGGCAGAACCGGAACCCTCATCGCCATCTACAATTGAGTATGAACCATAGAGCACTATATTAAAACTGATAATATCAAGAACGGAAAGTTGTCCATATTTGCTGTAGTCAGAAGGCTAAGAGAGCAAAGGTAAGGTTGGCAAGTGATTTATAGGTTCCATATGGTACACAATGAGCTCCAATATCACTTTATATACCAGTTCATCCATCATTATTTTAATATGAAAGAGATTGATGACACTGAGACTTATATCAGACCTTGAGAAATGGAGAAAAATAAAACTAAAATAAAATCTCAATCTGAAGAAGAACCTGAGACTAAGTCAAACTATAGCAATTACTCCTATGAAGGAGAGAGTAATAGATCTGGTGAGGAAATGGTAGAAAGCAAGCCTGTTATCTATGATGATGAAATTGAAAACCCTGATTTGCAGCTTGATCTATTGAACAAACCTCCACCAATCCAGAGAAACAAGAAGCCTCCGATGCTATTTTAAGTGATAAATTCAATAACTTTTCCTCAAAATGGGGTTTTGGGGTTTTGGGGTTTTGGGGTTTTGGGG